GAACAATACATGCCACAATTCAAAGTAGCAGAAAAACCGAGTACTTCTAAAAATGAAGTAATGGACGTTCTGAATTCTCTACACCTTTCTACCGTTATCTTTTAAACATTTCAACTTGCAAGAGATAGAAGAAACGATAAAAATCAAACGGATCCCACAAAATGCGTATGTTTCGATCTTATTGTTAGCAAGACATTACAATAATTGACAAAGAAAGGTCTTCCATTTATAACATCAATATTAATAAAGTTATTCTACCGTAGTCAAATGAAGTACGCTCAAACAATACCAACTACAACACTTGTTGAAGTACAATAGTAGTTAGCCTTGGCTCAAATAACACCTATGATAAAACCTGCCACGGAAGTGACGATGTAATTAAGTTTACTATCATAAGTGATAGGTTTTCATCATCATCAGCAGCAGCAAGGATTAAGCCAATCCAGATACTTCTCTTTTTCCTTTTGGAAGATATATGCGTGCTTGGGTAATCTCTCATTCTTTCTTTGTTAATGTTTTTTCCAGTTCTTTTCTATAGGCATTTATCATTTCTTGTGAGCTGGTAATTCTCAATTATACTCTTAAAATCTCACATACGATATGATCCATTAATGTGAAGCTCTTCACACACCTCAGGAATCGCATTTCTCTTGCGTGAATTCTCCCCCCCCCCTAGATGTTGTTACCCATTTTTCACATCCTTAGAGGAGAATAGGTATGGCCATTGTTTTTTAAAGCTTGATTTTGATTTCTTTTCATGTTTTCTTTCCCAGTTTTCTTTTGATAGTGCAAAAGTTAAAAAAAAAACTGTTATTGTAGCGTAAACCTTTAATCAGAGAGTTCAACAATGTTTTTTAAAGGACTTTCTACAATTCAACAAACTCATTGTGAATTTTATACATATCAAAAATAAGAAAAGAAAATATACTGGTCTGCTGCTTTCCTCGACAACCTGGCAGCATTCGATAGTCTGGCATGGTCTATTACAGCAGATAAAATATTTGCTACCTCATACGGGTTACCTTTACTTTCAATCATATCTCCACGATAACTTTTTTTCAAGTGAAACGATAACTTTTTTCAAGACGCTCTTTCAGAATTCAAATCTATCTGGAGGACCTAAGGAAATATTCTTGGACCTCTCCCACACCTTATATCTACTCCAGACTTGCCGATTACATACTACACATTCCTACTGCTACATTTGCAGTTGACTCAGCTATCCTAGCAGATGAAGATCCCAGCTGTTATTTACATTTACAAGCGCACCTGGAGAAAACAGAAGAATGGAACAATATATGGCGTGTAACAATACATTCTAAACTATTACATTTTCATTAAGAAGAAAGCAGTGCCCAAAAGTTAGAATTAATAACAAACTCCCCGAGGCTGCAACTGTCAAGCCTTACATTAGATACGAAAAACTCAAGGAATGAAAAGGAGCACAACTCAACGAAAATTGGTATGGCTCGTTAACCGATTAAAAAACCTTTTTAGATCAAGTAAACTTGCTACTTCAAAGAACAGTCGCTTTCGTTAATTTGTACACTGACTTGCATTATACACTGACGTGTATAATAAGGATAGTGCCATTTATAAGCTAGTGTTTCTGCGATATTTTTTCTCTTCATTAAAGAGCTTGGTGCAGAGATGTATTTACTAATATCTTCTAGACACATTTTGTGGAAAAAATTGACCCTTTTGCTGTATATATGAACAACTAGCGTACTCCGCGATATTGTTCGATATTATTAGTCGAAGCGATGCGAGTAGTTCAAAAAGATACCATTAGATCGCACTTCATGCTATGTCCTCTCGGAACGGCATAGATCCCACATCATCGATTAACTCTGTAAAAGCAATGCCCATTCATGTCCGATTTAATTCAAACCACTCTACATACTAATGAGAACTAAGTGGAAATTTCAGCGAAATCGGTCAAAAAGGTTTTGTATCTGTAATGAGGTAAAGCAAAATACCTTGTTTTTTCGTTGTATTCGAAAAGCAGAACGTTAACGCCGTTTAACAAATGAAATATAAGGAATTGCGCAAAGACACAAATTAAAATGAGTCATAGAGAATGCAAGGCTTCAGAAAATGCAAATATTATAAGGATTAAATAAATTTTGGACAATTTTTTTTTCGAAAACAGCAAATTAATAACATGGGGCATTGTTGATAAGAGACAAGAGAGGCTAGATGCGGGGGCAACAAGAACGCACCGATTCAAAGTAATAACAATCAAGCAAATGAATTGGTTAACATTGATCGTAGGTGAAAACGAACACTCTAGGACAGAACTATGGATTTTGTATCGTGAGGATCGATAGTCGTCAAGGCATTGAGTAAAAATATTTTGTTGTTAGTTCGTGAGATAGAAAATGGACATGTGGTTCGCGGTTATCAGAGAGCAGGGAAGTATGTGAACTATAACTGACTAGCGAAAAATAGTAATATTCGTGGAATATATAGGTCGCGAATAGTAGCAACACTTAAAAGCTAAATTCGGTGTGGTAATGAGAGCTCCAGCATGGAATTATGAAATAGTCGCTGATCTCGTCACGTCAAGATTGATGGAATAAGGCAAAGGAAAGTTTACACAAGAAGTGAAAAATACTTTAATAAAAATATCTAATCAAGACCAAGATACGCTTAATTTTAAGGTAATATTAAATTAGAAAAAGGATTGTAATTTTTTAGTAGAGATTCGATGGCCATTAAAATAGGCAGCAATAAGACAAATATAATGAAATATTGTCAAACTTTTAAAACCAATAGAATATTGAAATGCATTAATTTTGAAGCTGACACTTAATGTCGCTGGCAATATCATTACAAATTACAAGTTGTTTGATTTTTTATTAAGGTTAATTAAAGGATATTTCCTAACAAAATTAAATCCGAATATTCGTATTTTCTAGCCTACGAGAAAACTGACAGGCTCCGAAAATTAAGTAGGCACGCGCGCAAAACCAGAATGAAAATTAGAGCTAGCCACTTCATTACATTACATTGAAAGAAATTATAGGGGCAAAATACAATGGTTTTAATTATAAGAAGACTATGATCTAAAATATATTGTGATTATAGAGACAATACGATTCATTACAATTGCGCCCAACGTGGAGCTCGTAAATTCAGTGAAAATTTTCAATTTTATTTACATTAGGAAAGACGGCCACTAGTCAGCAATTTTTTTAATTCATACTCTAAATACGTACGTAAACATTTGTGTTTTTTAAGGATAAATATTGGGAGTTTTCGTAGACTTAGAAGAAGAATAACATGTTCTTTTTATGTTTATTATTGATGGAGCTGCTTTTCATCGTAAAGAATTGCTTGAAACTGTTGATATTTTTTCTTGATTTTTTTACGAGTATTTGTGAAGTTATTAAATATTTTTAAGACAAGTTGCATAATGTTAATATTTTATCGAAATTATGAACAAGATATTTCTGCAAGCTGTGAACATCCATTTCTTAGTATTATAATTGTTAGTCATAACTGAATAAATTTGTAAGAAATACAAGTCGTAACTTGAACAATTGAAAGTACGTGTAGGTGCATGTTCGCGGGTAAAAACAGGTTTTGATTAATTTACCCGAACTATAAAGAGGTAGTTCTTATAATTACATACATTTTTAATTGTAAACTGAAAAACACACGCCTGTTATACAAAAGTGAGAGTTTAGTATAATTGTGTTCTGTGTCACAAAAACTGTAGATTCCCGGGAGTGATTGTTGTCGAACAATACAAGTGGGCGGACAAGAAGAAAAAATAGCTGAGTTGCGATTCAAGATGTTACCCCAAATTTGTTTTTGTACCTTCCCGTATACGTACATATATACATAGTATGGGGAGTCACAATTGAATAAAAAGCCCCCGGACATTTTCAAAATGTGCTCAAAAACAGCTTCAATTTTTTTCTTTAAATTTCTTGTACTAACAGAGTAAAACACGCTTATAAAGGTGGCATAGGTCCAATTTTCACGGTTAACTCTGAATTTTCGAAAATTTCAAAAATATGAATTATTCCCAGCGTTTTTCTACAACTACAAAATTAAAGGTAGAGATTTTTCCTTCCAATGAACGCGTTTAATGCTGAACTGTTTTGTCATTGCACGGAAGTAACATGAAACTAACTGATCAATGCAGTATATAAACGACTAAAACCGGTCATAACATTTGTTTCGCGTGGTTCGTAGTAGTACCCTAAGGGTCCAAGTAGCCCGTGATGACGGTATTTTTTCTGACAGTTCATTCGTGGCAAGCTGAAAATATTCGACATCGGACGAGTCTTTGTTGTGTTTTTCACAGCGGAACTCGAGCAGTAGCAGAATAAACGCGTCCGACCTGGAAACAAAATCCACTGCGGATTAAACGTTGTTAATCCGCTGCCGCGACTCCCGCCTGCCTGGCTGTGCTCATAAGCCACCACGTGACGCGAAAATTCCGCTGCGGACATTCCGCCTAGTGTGCGTATCTTCCGCGCCTGTCTGTGTGAGGCTTAGTTGAATGATGTATAACTACTATAGAACAAACTAACCGAGTTTAGCAACATTTTAAAACTACAAATGCTGAGAAACAAGAGAGAAGGGGCAACGAGAGAGAGAGAGAGAGCAAGCAAGACTGCCGGGTTCTGTTGAGTATGTATTAAATTTATATTTTCATTATTAAAATGATGTTTCTCTTCGTTTATCTGACTTTTTTTTCGGACAACTGTGGAAATTATGTGTTATTTCATGGAGTTAGTTTTTTTCTCTATTCTGTCTCAGAATTGTATTCATTTTTCAAAGCAGCAATTTTGAGAACATTATTGTTTAATTGCATGGGATTGATTGAATGTACTTGAAACCTGTGTCAGCTCTTGTAACTGTGTTGTAACTGTTGCCGAGTTTTGTGTTGGAACTTTGTAGTAATTTTGTTACTAATGTCTTTGTAGGTATGTAAGCCTTGTGTAAATTGTGTTGTGTTGTTGAAACCGTGTCTTATTCCTCAGCTGTCTCTGGGAGGCGGTCTCCAATAGTTGAAGCTGGCCTTCCTGTAGATCAGGTCCCTCAGAAGGGGGCAAGTCGTGGACAGCGTGGTGGGCGAAGAGGGAGAGGGGGGAGAGGCAGTAAGTATAGGGAATCACAATTTGTAGACACTTGGGATTTAAGCCAAGTCATCCTTGTTAAAAAGTGTGTTCGTTCACAATTGTCTTTCTCTTGGTATTTTTTTACTTTCTCGCTACATCTTATGCTGTGTGGAGAAAGTATTGAAATTCTGCGAATAAAACTGTTTTTCGACAGAAAAAAAACTCTTATTTCCGGGTCCTGATGATGAAAAAGTGGTTAATCTTGTTCCTGTGTATAGTAAATTACTTCCTCAAATACGTTTAGTCAGAATCCATGTTTTGTGGGTCCCTCGTATCGAAAAATCGATTGACGACAAAACGTTTGTTTTGTCCGTGTGGTCATCGCTAGCGCGTAATCCGTTCAGCCAAATTTCTCCAAAATTGGTAGTCTCCAATCGATCTCACTGATATCACGGCTCCTGGAATTTGAAACAGATTTTTTTGCGGGGGGAGGAAGGTACTTTCCATGAAGTTCTTCGGATATTTACATAATTCTCAAAAAAATACATTACATTTTTAAATTGAATTTTGTTGTGGGCATTGTAAAGAACACTTAAGGGAATAGGGAAAGTCCCGTTTTCGTTGAATTTCTAGATTTTCGAAAATTACAAATATTCAAAAAAATTTCGGCGTCTTCCTACAGTTATATTATTGAAGATAGAGATTTTGATCCTTAACGATGTGTTGCTTACAGACAATCTTGAAGTAAGGTCATGTTCAATTTTTCGAAAATGTGCAGCTTTTCGTACTTTTGCGTGAAACATCGGGGCTTTTAAATCTATATAAAATATATTTCAATAAAATTGCTCCAATTTTTTTCTTTAAGTTATTTCTTGTATAGCGTAGTACGGTAAAGAAAACTATGCTAGTTTCATTATCGTCCAAATCTAACTTCGAAAATTGCAAACAAAAAAACTAACATTTCAAAAGTACACTATTGATGAGTTTTTTGTTACAAGAAATCTGTTCTAAAAAATCAGTTCTTTGAAAAATGACATGTACAATTGTTTAAAAATGAGTAGTTTAGTGTAATTTTACAATGTTTTGAATAACCTATATGAATTTCTCATGCATCGTTTGACAACCTGTCAGTCTGAAATTCTTTTGAATTTTTGTCGATGTTGGTTATGGTATAATTATGAGGACTTACGTTTTATTTATTTATTTATTTATTTATTAACGTCGAAATCAGTTAAAAATCGTGTGTGATATAGTATGGAGTAATGTGCATTTTCTGAACGTTTTCTTAAATTCTAGGATACGTACCCTAATCCATATAGGCCTACATGTTCTTTGATTTGAAGTGTGTAGTAGCGGATTTTAATGATATGTCCTTTTTCTCTCTTTAGAACAAAGGCTTTTAGTTAACAAATTCATTTTATGTTAAGACAAAACGAAATGACCTAATTGTATGTCATTTTTGTGCATTTATCGTCGATTTATTCTAAGTCATTTTTTATGCATTTTTGCTAATTTCATCGTTTTAATATCATTTTTATAGTACTTGCTTCACACAATTGGAGAGGTTCAACAAATTTTTCACCACAATTCTTGAGAAGGTTATTCGATTTCTTCCCTTTTATTTTGTAATGTCAGTTGTCAGTACTATGTGATCTAAGGTTCCTGTGACGTCTATCGGCGGCATTGTTCGGCCGATTTCGCGATTAATAAAGATTTATTTTGAAAGAACAGTCCAAACCTAAAGTTTGCAAGCTGAGCACTTGAACAATAGGAAGAAGCCTCGATTACACGAGTTACATACCCAACAGCTTGAATTGTTGGGTTCTAATGTCATTTTTCTTTGTTTTTAGGACATTTTTAAAGCATTATCAGATCATTTTATTGATATTTTATGGCAGTGTTTTAGGTCAACAAAATCCGCCCACGAGATTAAATTGAGATTATAACAATACTATAGTATTTAATAATTATTTTTATATATTTTTCGAGCTTGCTAGAACTATCAGCTTTATTGCGTTGTGAAATGTATGCCCAACAAATCTGCCATTGTTTCTGGAACGCCATGCTGGCAACAACGCGCTTCAGCGAACTGCGCTTCCGCCGCCGCCGCGCTACCACCACCACCACCACCACCACCACCACCACCACCACAAAGTAAACAAAACAATTTGAAAATTGTTTGTGTGTTGTACACTATTCTTTAAGAAAAAATCTTAATTGCAGTCGCAGGAAGATGCAGGAAAATGTTGAATTTTTGCAATTTTCGGAACTGAGATTTCAACGAAAATATTACATTCACCATAGTAAAAAATATTATTTTAGTCCACAATTTTTGCTTTTTGAGTTTCCCACTTTACCTTTTCAATTATGTTTCCTGAAGTTAAAACATTTTAATATTTAGGATTTTATGTTTTTTCCATCCATTGTTAAAATGGTTGTGAAACTCATCAAAACACACCACCTCACTGCCTAGCGACTGCATCCGGACTGTTCGCTGTCTCTTTCAACGCTCAATGCGTCACAACCCAGAGTACTATCTTTCTGATAGCCTCGCATGGCCTTGACCAAGGTGGCTTTGGTCGAAGAGTGACGATTTTCAACGCGTGCCCGGCAGATGCGTGAATACAAGGCGTGCCCGTGCACCTGCCTATGGTTAGAGAGCTGGGAGGGAGGGAATTCACTGACAAGCGACCCCAAGGTTCAATTTTTCGTCGACAACTGAAGCTCCTCGCTTTCACTGTGAGGCTGCCACGACTCAAACTCACTGGGACAGACTTGTAGATACATTCATTCCATGAAAGAGTATCTCGTGTCTCGCGCCAGTTGCAGTAAATTCGCAGAAATTCCGTTTATAAAGATTTTACTTTCCCCGCGGGACATGAAAAACCGTTCTGTTTCCGCGTTGGACAGATTCTGTTTAATGCTGTGTAAAATGCCATTTAACTTCACTGGCCAAGGAAATTTTCCGGTTAAAATAGGTTTCTGGATTGTACAGATTCCTGTTTGGGCAATTTTACTGCAGTAAATTTCTTAATCTATCTTCTTCATGTATAGGGACAAGATTTATTCACTTTCTCGTTACCAGAGCCCAGCGTTTTTTTCTCTCGAAATCAAAATCCCGAGACATGAACATTGGTGACCATATCTTAGATGCCTTGCAACGTGCTCTTTAGGTCTCCCCTCCCTCGTACTCTTACGAGTTTATGGACAACCCTGCAGGATTCATGGTGTCAATTACCTCTAGCACTACTTCAGACATTAGTCGAGTCCATGTCACGTTGTGTTGCGCCACTTCTTCGGGCCCTACACGATTAGGCTGATGTACCAGTTTTTTTGGTTCTTCAGCATATTACTCTGTAAATACGTCGTATAAGAGAAAGTAAATATTCTACGAAAATATTTGCTTCGAAGTCTAAAACAGTAAACGAACGATTCATTGCTAATTATGAGGAACATGCTGATATGTTTGTGTTTTTCTCCTGAAATGACTTATGCTGTATACCGAATTAATTAATTATGATTCAAATAAATACCTGTACATATTTTAAAGGTGTTATAAGGTGTTATAAGATGTTGGATTTTTTATTAGTCAGGTTTTTGTTCATTAAGCATTTAAGAGGTGTGGTATAGAGGCACATATCTTGCACGCTATACATATTGATTGTGACAGTTACATGAAACTGACAACATTGAATTACATTGTGCAGCTCACATCACAGACGTTGCTACGGAGTAATATCTTCTTGCAAAAAATGAGGGTTCTATCACTCTTGAGAAACTTCACAGTGTAATGGATATCAAGGTGATGCTGTACATCTGCTCTCCTTGAACTATCGTGTCAGAGTTAATTTGATTTAATTGGGTAATGCAATTACAATCATAGGCAATGGTACAGTTTTACACTGATATATAAATTACTAACAAACTGCAATTTAAATTTGAGATTTTTCTTGACAGATCAGTTACTATGCGATTACATATTGCACAATGAAACTTTCCTTCATCTACAAAAATACACAATACAGATTAATGGCGTATTCACACACTAAATAAACTGCTGCTAAAAAAATTAAGCCCATGGATATAACCGGGTTTTCAACCCAAAAATTAGAAGTTTCATATAACCATTTTTTTGTGAAGTGAAGTTAATAACAGAATGAATGCGTAATTTTGTAGCCTTCTATGTGCTATCGTTCTCTCACAGTTTTAGGCCTTTACCGGTATTGTTTGTGTATGTCAAGCTCTTATGTGCAGGTCTGAAAACGAAGATAAATTAAGTTGCACTCCTACTAAAATATTGCCGTGAGATAAATATAGGATTTGAAAGGAATGGTAATCATTAATTGCTACTAGTAATACAGTAGACTCATATACATTTTTTACAGATAAAGAGAAATCATTGCTTACAGATTACTGTTCATAGAAAGAAATTCACATAACACTGTTTGTCTGAGTAAACCTCTTTTGTACCAACACATGGTGACACCAATTGCCTTAATTTTTTTTATATTTGGTAGCTTTTATAGAAGTAAGAGTTCAGAAGTATATAATGTCATTAAACCATGAAAGAATACGACCAAAACCTCAAAAAATATTTTGAGATAACACCTTGCACCAACCACTTCCATTTATGTCCAATAACTGAAACAATTCATTAATTTGTGCATTGTCTATGATGATGGGCCTAAGACCGACATAGAAACAATGAAAGCATGACATACTCTCATACTCTATAAATGAGGAAACTATAAAACTATTGTGCAGTTCTTTTACGTGAACCATTCCAATTTTGCTGTTTTATTTTCCTTATGACTATAGTTGATATTGATGCTTTTACTAGATTGCTGTACATAATCAGTAAACATATTTATCGCATTCAGTATATTTGCGTATATTTTTTTAAGAGTAGACACCAATAATGTAAATAAGAGAGTAAATAAGCTGTATTCCTGAACAGGCATTACAGAGTTTTATTTTTGTTGCAGCCTCAAGACAAACGAATGCTGCTACAGAGTCTCGAGAGCAGGCTGCATTATCATCACAATCATACAATTTCCCCCCTTATTCTTCTACACATATGAATGCTGATAATTACAATTTTTCTCAGCCATCTTCTCATACTTCTCAAAGTTCTCTACTACATCCTCATTATTTTCAACAAACTGCTTTAAATGTCGGATTGCACCCTTCCCACCATAGTCATCTGCCCCATGCTCAGTCTTCTCGGAATGCACTAGGACCTCTGGTGAATGAAGTACCTCAACCTCTGCAGCAAACAAATCAAATTTTTCGTGAACAACTAGTCTCTCAACCACCAAAGCTTGTACGTTTGCCTCAGCCTCATACTGCATCAAATTCTGCACAGTTGGGCAACTTACACCAACAAAGCCCTTCAATTCAATTGACCAGCCAAGTAGTAGAAAACAACGCGAGAGTACAACAAATGCCGCCATTATCTCAACCAGTTATTTCATCTCAACAATCTCGATACTCTACATTTTACCCGTCAATTTCAAGTTTCTCTCGAATTCCAGAGAGCCATAATCACTCACAGTCTCTTCATTTTCATCGACCACAAATCCCTCATTTACCATCTAGTTCAGCTCAAGTTGCACATCCTCATGTATCTGAACCTGTTGGTCTACCTGCTTCAACACAATTACCACCATTGCTACCTCTTTCTCAAACAGCTTATCCAGCTTTACCACCACTTCAACCTCAATTTACCCAGGCTGCGCCTGACAATCAAGCTGCTGTACGTGATCCAACATCGCATTTGCAAAATGAAGCTCGACACAATGATTATCTCGCTTCACTTCGTATGCAGCAAAATCTTATGAGGAGAAATCTGCATTTGAATCCTTCTCATCAGTACAACAGTATACATAGTAATGATTTGCAAAATCATCCACAATCTAATCAGAGATCAGTGTACCCAACAAATTCTCTGCCTCGATCAACATCTCATTTGCCTACTGAGCGAGATTTCCCTTCCCTTCCAGAATATTTGCGACTCAATAATCATCCCGGGCAAATTGAACAGGGCACTCTTGCTGCTCAAAGTCAAGTCACATCACAATCTTCCTTTATCCCTCCACATCAATCTCCTCTTATACCCCAACAACCTTCACTTTTGCCACATCAACCTCCACACCAGTCCTCTCATTCATCACATCAGCCCTTACATCTGTCACCACATCAGTCCCCACATGCACCACATCTGTCCCCACATCAACCTCACCAGTTTCCACATCTTTCACATCCGTCTCGACATCTACCACATCAGTCCCATCTATCACAGCAGTCCCCACATCTGCCATACCAATCCCCACATTTACCACATCAGCCTCCTCATTTACCACATCAGCCTCCTCATTTACCACATCAGCCTCCTCATTTACCCCATCAGCCTCCTCATTTACCCCACCAGCCTCCTCATTTACCACGTCAGTCTCATTTACCTCGTCAATCTCCTCATTTACCACAGCAATCTCCTCACCCACCGCAGCAGTCTCCTGACCCGCCACAACAGTCTCCTCACCCACCGCAACCGTCTCCTCACCCACCGCAACCGTCTCCTCACCCACCGCAACCGTCTCCTCACCCACCACAGCAGTCTCCTCGTCCACCACAGCAGTCTCCTCGTCCACCACAGCAGTCTCCTCGTCCACCACAGCAGTCTCCTCATCCACCACAGCAGTCTCCACATCCACCTCAGGAGTCTCCTCATCTACCGCAGCAGTCTCCTCCTCCGCAACAGTCCTTACAACCACCTCAGCAGTCTTCACAACGTCCACATTTCTCACAGCAGCCACAACAGTCCTCACAACTACGACACCAATTCCCACAACTTCAGCAATCCTATTTATTACCTACCCATTCATTACCTCGGGCGCGTCTGCCCCCGTATCCACATTTACCACCTCGACCATACCTACCACCTCCACAATCACAATCTTATTACATACCTCCAGCGACAGAACAACCATTCCCACCTCCTCTCCTCCTAATACAACCCCAGTCAAATGCTCAGCAGATGTTAGGAAGACAAATGCTATCATCTGGTCCAGAAGAGACTCGAACACAGCCGGCTCCAAAGTCTCCAAACTCTGATTACTCAGATTGTTTGGCTACAATGGCACGCCATGCTGCTGCAGCTGTTGACACTGGTTTAGGCACAGGTTTACAGCCACCTGTCTATCAGAATGAACGAATTCGTTCCCAGATACCAGCAACAACAGCGGCGGCACATCTTCCTACATCTTCCCAAAGGTATGTTTGTCTTTTTGGTACGATTTTAAGGGAATGTATATGTTCTGTACAAGGTCTTTAGTACTAAAATATGTAATTTTTGAATTTGTGCAATTGAATGGCTCATTGAAAAATCTTCCGCGAAAGGTCATTATCTTAAGTGATCAAATCGAACCGCAGGCACTGTGAAGTTGCCTTTTCTCGTTGTCCATAGTGATCCCGACTCGAGTACTAAACACGTTTGTTCAAATACTGCCTCTGCATTTCTTTCTCCATATTTCGCCCGTTATTGTAGTATTTGCGGAAGCAGTTTCATTCATATTTCTCACATTCTCTTTTTTACTTTCTCAAATACGTAGACTAGACAAAGTTGCTGAAAAAATTGATGACGAATTATTGTCGGAATAGACGGATTTTAAATGTTTTGGGGATCCTTGATAATGAATTCTTTCTTTCAAAACGCCCGTCTGTGTGAAAGTCTTTCCCTCGCTGTGATAAATACAAGCGTCGAAACTGAACATAAAAAATTTAACTAAAATGGACATTTCCATTCAATTTGGCAGATGCTAGCCCCTTCTTAAATACTGTAACGTTTCTCGGCGGTGTATTAAAACCACACACGGGTAAAATTTAACAAAACGTTTATTCGTAAACAATTCTTGTACACTAAAATCTACTAACACTAAAAACTACTTGATCTATATACAGGTATATTACACAGTCCTTGTGTTCTTCACGTATTTTTTCTTACACACGACTCCGTTCCAAGATTGATTATTTATACAGTTAACTTCTTCTGATTATTTACACCATTCTCTGCAATCTGATAATTTATTTACACTGATCACTTCTTCTACAGTATCACACAGTCCGCTGCACTGTCCACGGTTCACTGGGCTTACCACAATTCTCTGCGCAGACCACAATTCCCTGCGCACACCAAGGTCCACTGAGCTGTTGTTTACCGCGATGCACACCTCACAGCTCAGCATCCACTGCAGACTTCAGACTGTTGACTGCTGTTCATCCACTGCACCACTGCTCACCGCAATGCACACATTACAGCACAGCCTCCACTTCGCACACACTGACGGACTGACTACTTATTCTCTGACACACACGCACCGACTTACACAGACTGACTGACTTGACTGCTGCTTCTTACTGACTCGCGGCCGCCGGTAGCGGCGCATTTATACCTGGCCGGCGCTCGTCTCGATACAACCAGCACGTTCTCCACCTTTCCCCGCGACTCGCGAATAGTTCGGATCCGTCCAGTTCGGGGGGAAGGGAAGGGGCGTCGCCAGATGACGCAATCCGCGCGCAGCGAATCCTGCAGGTGATGAAATATTCGTTATAATACACATTTTTCAACCGAAAAACTAATTTTGTGGGTCCCTGATCAATATAAAGTTGATATCGACCATCCGCCTATGAACAACTGTATCCCTTAAATAATGCACACGATTTTTTCCAAATGGGATTTTCTTAATTAAATTTGGCCCATTTATTGGTCTTATGAATTTAACTAATTGTGGGTGGGGGTTACTTAACATAAACTAACGACAAATTTAAAATTTTCTCAAAAAATCTCAACGTTATTTAATTCTTCCTCGAGAGTCAACAATGAATGCTTATAAAAATATCACAGGTCCGATTTTCATGAATGGCTCATATTTTCTCGCACTTGTTACATTTCTAATTTCTTTGGTCTGGGCAGGCTTTTATTTTCCCATATACATACGGAGTAATATACATATTATAGGAAAAGTTATATAATGCTGCGGAATGTCGATTTCGAGATTTCAACGGAAAAACACTTCCCCCAACCTCTTTCCATTTGGCATGAGTCGAAGCGTTGCGATTTTGAAAATTATTTATTAGTTTTTGGGGGTGCTTTACATGAAGCACCTGGGATATTTTCAAAATTTTCTCAACGATGGCTCCTTTTTTAAATATTTTTTAAAGGCTCCAAATTTTTTCTTCAAACTTTTCGAACTCATAGTGTTTATTGCTCTCTAATATGGCGGAAAAATTTCATTTGGGGGTATTTTTTTAATTACACAAATGTGATTTTTTTAAAGGATCACTCACGCTGTTAATATGCACATTTCCACCGGTTTGTAAACACTTGTATTTGTGAGTTATTGTGCTTCAAGTACTTTTAATGAAGTTTTCCGAAAACTCAAATTTCTGGGAAAAAGAATTTCGAATTTATAGTAACGCTTAAGTGCTATTTTCTTAAAAACAGCTCCAAATTTTTCAAAGAAAATTGCCATTTAGGTCGAGGTTTTACAGTTCTTTAATATTCTTAAAATGATATTTTCGTTCTACTATTAGAAAATGGAAAAATTAAGAAAATGTCAAAAAGTGTACTTTGGGGCAGCTGGCAAGAGTATGTGCAATATCTAGGCGAGACTAAAGAAATAGAAAACTAATACGGAAACGTCTGTGCCATTCTTTATCGCTACTAGTTCGATTTTACCCCTCTATCTTCCCAGCTGCCATCTATCGCTGCATATCACAGTACATTTTTCACATTTTTTTAGTTTTTGGACAGAACTGAAATATGATTTACAGATTATTATAGAAGAATAAAACCTCGTCATGTGTTACAATTTTCGTAGAAGAATTTGGAGCAATTTGTGAGGAATGTCGTTTAAGCGTTTCTGTAAATGCGAAATGTGAAACTCGGAAATCTTTTGAGTGTTCGGAAAACTTCATTGGAAACCATTTGAAGCACTTCTGCTCACAAATGCAATAATGTATACAAATCAATGGTAATTCACACATTCATGTCGTGAGAGGTATTTCAAAAATACTATTGTATATGTTGTGTAAAACTGAGTTTTCGAGAAAATGGTGTTGGAGTCTTTTTGAAAATGCGGAATTTCTTGCTCATTTTTGCAGAAAACTCAGTTTCGAGAAACTTTATAAGACATTTGAACCACTTGTTCTCATAAATGCAGTAATGTATCAAAATCGTCGGCAATGTAAACGACGAGAGAGGATGGCAATAAAATTACATTTGTGTAATTTTTTGAAAGAAATACAAAATAATACAGCAAAATGGCGATTTTATTTAATTCAGTGCATTTAGTGCTGTCCCTATTAAAGGTCAAAAAATAAATTGGAGCCGTTGTAAAAAAAACCTTTCTTTAATATTTTTTAACACTGATCATGTTTTTAACACAAAATTTCACCAAAACTATTTAAAATTTCCAAAATTTTGCATTGCGTTATTAAGAGAACTAATTTTATTTGCTCTCCAAATTTCTATATTTCATAGTGTAGTTATAGGTAGACGCTGAAAAAGTTGATAAAGTGCAATTTTTCAAAAAATCGTATATTACTCCGTATATAAATTAGTAATTACGTAAACGAGAAAGTAAAAATCAGTAGGCGATAACACTTTTTACTCATCTATACAGCAATGTAAGACTACCTTAAACTCTTTCCCCCAACCTTTAGCGTTTATCTATGGACAGCCCCTTTTTTAAAGGTTAGAAATACAGATATCCAGTTTCTTGAAAGATACGTTTCTTCAATCTTGTAAACAACTATGGCAGTTGAGCGATATTGACAGCCGATGCTCCTACATGCCTGTCGAAAGATTAAGGATTTGTTGACACTATTATTACTTTCTCGCATACGTAACAGACAAGTTTATGCAATGCTGATGCGAAAAACGGCTATTTTTCGGCAGAAAAATTCGTATTGAAGATCCCTATAGCCAAAAAATGAATAAATCTTTTTTCAATATGTAGTATATTACTTCCTCTAACACGTGTACCCAGAATTCACGTTTTGTGAGTCCTTGACATCGAAAAATCCATTTACATCAAACTTCTGTCTGTCTCTGTGAACATCACTAACGGCAAAACCCTAAGCTGGATTTTTACGAAAACTGATATTTCTCAGTCGACGTCACTGATGTTGCGGCCCCTTGACTTTGAAAGCAATGTTTTAACTTTTGAGGGTTCTTTACAGGAAGCCTCAAGTACATTTTCAATTTTTTATCAAACATGACTCCAAGGTTTTTGATTAAATTTTGTTCTTAGATAGCGTAAAAGATGCTTATAACACGCCGAAGGTCACAGTTTCGTTGAACTATCTGAACTTTCGAAAAAAAAGTAGTTTCGTTGAACTACCTGAACTTTCGAAAAAAAAAGTTCAAAATTTTTCGGCATCGTCCTTCAAGTACAGTATTAAAGATGGAATTTTTCTTATGAATAAAATTTGTTTTTCAAAATTAAATGTTTAAATGACAAGCATATTTTCAAAATATGAATAGTTTTCGCGTAATTTTGCTTGAAATATGGGCAATAATAAGAAATTGAATATGCACTGAATAACATGACATAAACGTCATATTCATGTCATTAGATTACACAAACAATTAGATTTACATTACGACCTTTTATGCATTGCTGTCTTTGTGAGGGCAGGTGCTTCAAATGGTTTAAGTTTCTGGAAAACTAATTTTATATTATTTATAAATATTTAAAAATAAGATGAATTGTTGACCAAAGAAGTCGCTCTTTTGGGTGCCTCAAAAAGATTGAAATGGAAAAACATGTAAAAGTGAATGCAGAGCCTGTGGTGAAGTAAATGTATGTGTTGGAAATAGATTGGAAAGATTAGAAACGTTTAAGGAATGATTTAAGAGAAACAGCATTGTTTGTAGAAATACATGCTAATGGAGCTAGAACGTATTTACCACTATTTCCATTCGATGTATTAGTGAAAATACAACTACTAGAATTATTTTTAGTGTTAACGATATTTCTTTAAGAGTTGCAATTTTACTGGTTTGAAAAGTTAATAGAAAGTTTGTTTTAGAATTTCCTTTTTGTTTCCAGGTTTTGTGATGTTACTTATGCATCAAGGCCTCAACCAGGAAGACCCACAGCACATCCTGAGAAACAGGGAGGCCAAAATGCTTCAGCCCGTGAACGACCGGCTGTCAGTTCTAGTCAGGCCCACGTTCCTGTTACAGGATCAAATGAAAATAATAAGAGGCAAGTTGGACTACAGGCAATAAGATACCATGAAATAATATATGCTTAGAGGTTGAAAATGAATCTTTCGAGTTTCCATAACCATGAGTAAATGTACAGTAGTCTCTCAACTCACGCTATTCGTGAGTTTTGGACTTTCGCCATTGGAAGAAAGCTACCGGTTTTGACATTCGCAAGTGCGTCATTTGGTCGTACTACATTTATTTTGAAAGTGAGCGGAATTCAATTTCTTCACCGTCGTCATCTTCGAACCGAACTCGGAAGGTACCGGAACTCAAAAGTATCACGGTCTACAAAAATAGCATATGGAATGTCAATTCAAATTAATGCAATAACACAATGTTAAAGTAATTCAGTTCTCTTGCGTCAAATTGGAGGTAAGGGTTTCGACGATATGACCCGAAAGTCACTCAGGATCTTTGCAACTCTCATGATACAGACCTTATTGACGAGGAGCCTCGAAAAACATCAGGGAAGAAAACCTCCTCGAATAGATGAGCAACTTTAAGGCCAAAACTGTTAATAAAGTTTTAAAACTTCAACGAGCTGTGGTGCAAAGGATATTCGAATGCGATCTGCTATTGAAATAACCTTAAAATTCAAGAGAGAAATGGAAGCAGCAACTCTTCCCTATTTGAAGATTAGGATGAAGTGGTCCAATCACTTTCAACTTTGAAATATCTTTCAAATATTGTTTTATATCTCCTCTGTGAGGTGTTAATTGTGAATTGTTTGTTGTGCTTTCTCAGTTCTATTACATGTTGTTTGCCAGTCATTTTCCCGTTTTTTAAACAGTTTTCAAACCCAGGAATTTCACCCACATTTCTTCAATTGAAATAGTCTCAACATTCGCTAATTAAACATTCGCGGTGTTTTTTGGGAAGCTAATTTGTGCAAATGTTAAGGGATTACTGTACTTGTACTGTTTGAAGCCAAAAATATAACTTGCAGTGCAAGTGAGGTAATGTGTACTTAAAATAAAAATTGATGTTACAGAAGTGCAGTATGTGAACAAACTTCACGGGTTGGAGGAATAGACGAAAATGTCAGTGATGAAGATATTGAATCTTTGGAGAGGCTTCGACATATTACTAATAAGGAAATAGAAGAGATGCCAAAATGCTTAAATGAAGTTCAGTTAGCATTCAAAGAAACTGCTCGAAATCTTGAAAAGGAAGGTCTTCTTCCAGCTGGAACTAAGGTAATTTTATCTTATGTTCTTTGATAGTATTGTCTAATGTAGGAGTTTCCACTCTACAAACATTTAACAATTATTTTAAAAAGAGAAGACTTATCACATAGTTTTCATTAAGATGTGTAAAATGTGTGCATTAGTTAATATTTTATCCACAAATATTGTTAGTATCATACCCTGCTTTTCAAAAGGAACAAGGTAAGTAGTATTGAAATCACTACCGCTGAGGTTTTTGTCTTCAAATGTTAAAACGTTTTGGCTACTTAAGTCGTATTGTAGGGACATGGTGTTTGTAGTTTGTGGGTGAGTGAAAAATTACCAAACATGCAATTTATTTCCTACGATTCTAATTTATATACTTTACTTTCAACCCTACAAAGCATTTAGTGTGTTGTGGCATTCCTTAAAGTAGTGAAAATGTTTCATCCCTGCCTGACTCTGTTCTAAAGCTTGACGTTGAGCACCTTTCAGGCAATTGTTAAAAACATTGGTGTTGAATTATGAGGTGGCCAGAAGTATTATGTTGGGATTTCAAGGCCGATAATTAACTATAATTGAGACCTGCTCAGTGTCTTAAAGCTTTACTAGAGAAAAACGTGCGGGCAGATAGAGCAAAATGTGTGCAGAGAGACAGACCATTGGGCACACAGAAACGGACCGACGCGACCGACTTAAAGTGTACTTAAAGTATGGGACATCAACCATTTAAATAAGTGAGAAAATGATTTGCAGCATTAGGCGCCCCGGCATTCAATCTATGCGCCGCGTCGTGCATCGTCAGTCTTCTTCCCTCCCTAAAGCTTTCACTCCCTACTACTTGCACTTTCGGCTGTTTCCTGCGCAGACGGTCGGCTCGTAAGTGCAGAAACCCGCGGGAGCAGGCGTTGCGCAGACCTGTTATAGTGTCTTTAATACAGTGGCTTGCATTCCAGGTAAGCAAGGTATGCCGCGCTTACCCTGGAGACAAGACAGTTTAATGCAATTATTACACTGAGTAATCAGTTCTCTCGCCACAGACGAGAACTCGGCTTGGTTGTTTAAAATCTGCGAAGTACGCGTACACTGGCCCGCGTAGGCGCGCGGCCCTGCATTGGGCATAAACGCTGTTGCGACAAAAAGTCCGTCTCGGAGGTCGTAGGCGCGCCATGTTCTCTGTCGAAATGCGAGAGGAAGTTCGCGCATGCGCTCTTGACTTTTTGAAGCCCCGTGTGCTTGCATGGAGCACACTGGTAAGCGCAGCAACCGAAGCTCACCGCCCAGGGTGGCCCTGGACAGCTTGCAGACGTTCGCATACGACACTGGCAAGAGCCGCCTGCGGGGTGTGGTGTTTCTTGAAATAACGGTGGATGTATGTGATCTGGGCGTGTTATTCTTAAGTGCATGTTCTATTTGTAAACTGACTTGCCCTATGTAAAGGTAAGGGTTTTTGCTATGGCACAAAATGCATGTAGGTATAAAAAAAATTCATTTGTACCTCTAAAGAGCAAAGTGAATTATACCCTTAGGCCGGTTTCGGAACTTCCTGACTTAAGATCATTAAATAAAAAAAGGAAAGGGAGAAATTCCGCTTCTTTGATACTCAAAAATATGAAAACGCAAGTTGGTTAATAGGAAACAGACCTTGATAAATTATTTTTTTGGGCAATATTGTATATTATTTTCCCATGATCCTAATGTAAGGCCAATTTGTACAATCTTTCGAATGCAATCACGAACGGACTGA